CTCATTTCCTTCGACCACAGATTGCTGACTGCAACCATCTTTCAGGAACTATCCATGACCTACATCTCGTCTTCAGACATTCAACAATACTTTGCCATTAATCTTCAGAAGAGACATAAATCACTTGGAACAAGATTGGATGTTAACAGTAATATGGATGAAAGAGTTATAGTGAATGTCGTGATAGATTTAACAGATGAGGTTGTTCTGCCTAAGTTGCGAAATATAATACTTACTTACGCCTGTTACTCCTCGTGAAGGAGCATATGCCGCTCACCAGCATTCTCCATCCAAGCCTGTCTTGGGCAATCCTTTCCAGCTCTTTCCAGTTGTTATTCATCCTTTTCATATCCGCTTCTATTTTCCGACTTAATTTGTTCTTTGGCCTTCCTCTTTTCCGCTTCCCTTCGGAATTCCAATTCAGGGTGTGACTCGTGATGCAGTTTGGTGATTTCCGTAATACATATCCTATCTATTTCCATCGTCTTTTCCTAATTTCCACTTCAGCTGGAAGCTGGTTTGTTCTCTCCCAGAGAAGGCTGTTGCTGATGGTATCCGGCCAATGGATGTTGAGCATCTTGCGTAGACAACCGTTTATAAATACTTGTACCTTCTTGATGATGGTTGTTGTAGTTCTCCAAGTTTCAGTCCCGTACAATTGAACTGCCTTTATGTTCGTATTGAAGATTCAGACTTTGATATTGGTTGAAGATTGTTTTGAGTTCCATATGCTCTTAAATTGTAGGAATGCGGCCTTTGCCATGCCAATCCTTACCTTTACGTCTGCATCTGAACCTCCTTGTTCATCGATGATGCTTCCCAGGTATGTGAAGAAATCTGTTGAAGATTTCCTCAGGTATACCATAGTGTCGAAGAGGGTTCCGTAAGGTTCATCTATTCACTCTGTCAAATGCTTTCTCATAATCAAGGAAGTTGATATGTAGTGACGAGTTACATTCAATTGATTGTTCAATGATGATCCATAGTGTCGCGATTTGATCTGTGCACGACTGATCTTTACGGAATCCGACCGGTTGATCCCGAACTTGGGCTTCTACCGAGACTCTCATCCGGTTCAGCAATACTCTGTTAAAAACTGTCCCTGCTACCGATAATAGTGTGATTCCTGTACATTTCCCTCATTTGCTCAGGGTTCCTTTCTTTGGTATCTTGATTAGGTATCCATCTTTCCAGTCTGTCAGTGGCACTTGTTCCTCCTACCAAATCTTCCTAAATAGAACGTGGAGTATGTTTGCAATTACCTCAACATCTGACTTCAGTACTTTGGCTGGTGTGTTGTCTGGCGCTGCCGCTTTCCCAATCTCGATTTGTCTGATTACCATCCTGGCTTCTTCGATCGTTGGTGGGGTGACATCTATATGAAGGTCTGTGTGTACTGCTACTGTCACATAGTTGTTTTATATTTCTTTCCGTCTCAGCATTTTCTGATGTTCTTTCTAGGTCTTCTATATAATTTTACTTGTCAACTCTAATTCTCTTCTTTACGTGGTTGCTTGCTTCGGTGTATTCACCTTGTGCCTTGACTTTTTCTGTTCCTGTTCGGCTGTTGTTAATTGCTGTCTTTTTGCCTCCCCACCTTACCTGAAGCTTGTTTAGGGTTGTCATAGAAATTCATTCCTGGCGATGATTCTTGTTGCGGCTCAGAACCTCCTGACACGCTGCGATTAGTGCTGTTTTGGTCCATTTCCAATCGTTCTGCATAGTAGTTACATCTTCTTTGGGCAGATCTTGTGGGGCTTGGAATCCAATGTCGAGAGTGTGGCCATAAATAAATCTTCAGAATCAATAGCTTTATAAGTCTTCCACATTTGATTCTGACCGCATCGGTCATGCATCTGCACCAGAACACGAGTGGGCGCTTCACTTCTACAACCGATAGCCAGCTTGGATCAGTCACTTCTGGATATATTGATAACCTATCTAATATGTCTTCGAACCACTTCGCTTCTGGCTTCTGATTTAACTGGGTTGGCACGTCTCGATTATAGAAAGTGTTACAGGTTGACGTGTTGTCAAAATCCAAATACTTGTGGCATCTTTAGGAGCTATTTTGATTTTGTTGAGCATCGAAAGAAGACTGTATTGAACCTTTGTAATCATGTTTTCCCAGTTATCCATTGTTTCTTTAGCTTCAATTTGATCTTCTCAACCACCGGGTAGAGGTGATCTGAATCCATATCAGAGTGAGACCGATTTACAAACGACCTTGATCTGACACTGAAGTGACCTTCAGAATGTCCATCTAATTACTGGGACTAAATGAGGGTTATGAACCAGTGTGAGAGATTGGAATTGTGATTTACAGTTCATGGTTAGAGTTAAAAATTAGATTTATGATTTTCATTGCGAATCGACATGAGCTAAAATGCCAAAACGTTAGTTAACCAAATGGATAAAATTCACGACACATTATCGTGTATATGATTGGTTTGTCCATAAATTATAGTCTCGCCCTATGCCGGCACCTCTCCCGGTTCTTACGTCTTCCATTGACCTTCGACAATTTTTAGTGATACAAATATGATCGATCTGGTTTCCTGTAGTGTAATCCGGTGAGACCCATGTAATTATGTGCATGCTTTTGTGGGAGAACATTGTAAAGCCCATAACCAGGTTGCTGAATGCACATGGATTTGCGAATCTCTCCTCATTTTCGTTCCTTTTTGCAAGTTCATGTCCTCCATGATATTTGCGAACCCGGTGTTGTCCATTCCGGCTTTGGTGTTTAGGTCTCTCATCACGGTGATCAGGTCTTTTGCTGAGCACTTTGCTATAGTTGATTACATCCACTCAAAACTGATCCTTATCGTCGTCGTCGCCGCTACGATTGTTGGGTGCACAACATCGGATAATATTCGTTCTGATTCTCCCTTCTTTTCTTTGAAAGATGATTTGATGATTCTTGGTCCATCCTACAAGTGCCTTACGTGCTTCTTTGGATATCGTGGGATCAACTCTCTGTGTGTGGAGCATTTTCCTCCTCATGACCGGAGTACAGCAGAATCTCTCCCTAATCTATCCTTCGCTGTCCAGCTTGTATACAAATGTTTTCACTTATTCTGAGCACTGTCAATTTGGACCTCCTCATTTCAGCAGCTATTTTGTTGTTCTTCTTGGTCTCTCAAATTGTGCGAACACCACACATATCTATATTAGTTGCTGGCTCGGCTGTTAGAAGTGGAATCATCTTCTTGACTCTCTAAGGATCTCGGGTTTCACCATGAGGTTTCACAATTCTTTTGCATGAAGATCGTTCAACTTCTTATGTAGAGTTTAAATGATTTAATTCGTTTGTTAAAGTTAGCGTTTCCTTACCAAGGTTTTCTTCTTTGCCTGGTTTTGGAACTGGTAGTAACCCTAGAAGAGCTACAGGAGGAGTTACAAAGCATAATAAGTTATTCAATAACTCTAGGCTATCTTCAAGTGAGCTGTTTCACCACAGGAAATGCAAATTGGCCATGGCCTCTTCAGTGGATAGTCTCAAGAGGAAACTTAACAGTTGTGCGTTTATCTGTGTCTTACCGTTTTTCATATGTAATAGATGTGACTGAGGTGTCTTTCGTAAGTTATAATGATTATTATCCACATCATTTCCTGCCCGCTTCACTGATTGCCACCTCCTTTTAATTCATTATTCTTCCACCTTTGTTTGCAGTATGTGCATATCAAAGTTGTCCACTTCCGACGATTATCTTCTCCTTATACCAAATATGAAAGAACAAAAAATATTAGCCTTCAAATAATTGTGAGACTCACTAAGAGTACAGAAGCTCAGTGACTAGACTTTCGTGGTAATACTCACCTCAAATCAGTAACAACAATGAAAGATTATGTGAAATTCTAAATTAATTCCGTATGTATTTTCATTGACTTCATCATATTAGCTAGTGATGTAATGGCAAAAATTAAGTACCAGAGTTTCTTCAAACACATTCGTTTCACACATCCATCAGTGCAAACAAATGAACAAACACCAATCGATGATAAGAAACGTGCAAAAACCAAGATATTTCTTGCTATAAGTGTTTGTACAATTCTAATCATAGACTAAATAACGCAAGTAAAGTGATGTATATTGTGTAGGATAAGTAAATCTATAGGCACTCACAAGTATATAGATCACCAACGGAGATGATCTATGTCGAATGATTGGGAGCCTACTTGAGTTAGATGAGAATGATGTGACCAACCAGCTGACTCAAAAGTCACACCTTACGGTTGGTACCTAACACGGATCACCGTTTCGTCTTGTCTAATTAATATGGCTAATCTGATTACCGTAAAACACAAACGAGGTTATTACAGAAATATATTAGTTTGAGTAGGAACAAGGAACAGAGTATGACCATTACTGCGTATGGCGTGTAAATAACTAATGCATGTTGATTGACCTTATCGCTGAGGTGGATCGGTGGACTGTTCGATAGTCGGTAACCCGACTGCCTGATGATTTGGCTAGGGCTCAGTGACGTTTCACTGACCCTACAAGCACAATAAAAGACGCTCAACCATAAAATTAACAAGAAAAAATTAAGGTATGTACATGTGCTATATGTTGTAATGACTTATGGAGAAGATTGAGTTATTAAGAAGACGAAAATAACTCAATAGGCATAAGCTGTATGAGTTCTTAAATTACATCAAAAAGACAGAAGACGCTAGCAAACATTACAATTGTGTTATTTTTGCAAGACTACTCATAGTGGACAGTGCTAAGACACGTAACAGGGTGTACAATAGATCAACTGGTCTACACTAATGGATCAAAAAAGCAATGGGTTTTGAATACTACTTGTTTTGGAGGTTTAATAGTCTGAAGAATTTATATTGCTTGGAAGTACTTCACGAAGTAAGTTAGTAAGAGGCAGGTAAATGCTAGTGACCAAAGAGTGTAAGTCGCTTCTCACCATTTCTTGTTTAAGCTGCCTTCTACCTTGCTCACTCAAAGCTATACTAACCAGCGCTGTGTATAACGTGCGATGGATTTCGGTAATTTCCATCAAACATATTTCATCGTTTTGTGGTAGAGATAGTAAGATCTTCTGTGCTGAAATTGGTTCAAGAATCAAAAAGTAAAGGAAACTTTTCCCTTAACCGTTTGGCTGAACATGTATATTCTATGTTACAATCCGAGTTATTGGTCAGATGTTATGATATTGTAAACATTGTTAATCGTCCTTCTATTTTGGTAAGAATACAAAAATTATCGGATAACCAGTTTGCGTGCTACTACAATATTTAATTTATTGTCGTTAGATTATGAAGATTTACAGTCTTAAAATTGGATCAACTTACATATACTACTAGGTGATGAAGACACAGTTAAGGTTAATATAAAGTCTTGTTGATCTGGGTGAATTCAATACTTTTGTCCGTCGACATCGAGAAGGGTCTCAGAAAAGACGAGTTTTTTCGAAGCTTTGGTGAAATTTATTGCGGAAAATAAGGTTCGAATTTGGAAACATGCTCGTTAATATAGTCAATTTAACCGAACTTTTCATTGTTCTTCGAGATCAAGCTAAAAAAGTGGACTGATTTTATTTTCTTCAAAATTTTCATCATTTAGCCTTACAGAACCTCATGTTTATTTCACTAAATTTCGTTCTTATTAAAACAGATTTGTTTAGTCGTGGGGACTTGAACTTATCCACATTTTTGTCACGTTTACGTCGAGCATAACCGGCCGACCAACATTATGCCAAAAATATCCCAGTCATCAAGATATGTATTTCGTTACTTCAAGTAATATTTGTTTGTTAAATTCACCTGTGGTGTCCATCTACCCGCTTTTTGGGACGCCATTTAATGAACTTTGTTCTCGTTGTTAGTCCCTAAAATTTTATGTAGGCATAGCCATCGCTCTTTTGAAGTTTGCCCACGTACTACAAATAGAATCACTTCGCTATCTTTGTTGCCTTAAAGTAGAAGTTCTGCTACATCTGCATGCTCAGTTTAGTGTTGTTACGCATACGTTTTCTGGTTACTAGCAAAATAATTTCTATGACTATTACTCTAATGTCATTTTTCAAACTTGTTGGAGTCTCTTAACATATTCACTAAAAATATCTAAGGAGTGTATAACTTTTTACTGATAAAAATATAAATACCTTTTCAGTTACAAAACTCTTGTTTAATACCTATTCGGTTACCCTGATATTCAGCACAAAGCGGAGGCACACTGAGTACTATTCCAAGTTTGGATCCATCTACGTAGGTTCCTGTACCCGCGTGTTACAACTATCCCAAGTATGAAAATTTTAATCTCAGTCCAAATAAATGAGCTTGCACTTAATCATCAAGTTACCTCAACTACTCAACATTCATCTAGTAAGGTTATTAGAGGTACTGCTGTGCAATACACGTTAATTTATACTTTCTAATGCACGCAGATGAACAAATTAGAAATATTGCGTACTGATGCAACAACTTTAAGGTTTTACTTTTAGTTCTACCAGAATATCAATTTTAAGTATTTAGTTACTCAATGGTAATCTGAATGAATATTGAAAAAGTATCCTGTGAAATTGGTCATTGTCAGATACTGCGGGGTAGTAACTTCCTCAATTCTTGGCTGCCTTTTGTTGCAGAACACTTATGGTGAAAACTACTTCCTCGACCAGTAGACCTGAATAGTAAATAATTAGAAATACCTCTTCTCATCTTGGCAATGTATCTTATACCTAACGATTTACTGCAATAGTTTAGCCCTTTGACTTATGGTGCGGTAGGAGGATCTTTAACTGGCTATTAATGTTTAAAACAACACATAGAATGAAAAAAGTCCGTTTAATGGTAAATGAACATCGATATGGTCTTAGTTTGCGTGTAAGATTGAGAAGATTTGAACTTAAGCTAATATGACTACTTACTGCCACTTGATTGAAGATGGTCAGCTAGTTGGTACTCTTAAACACGATCATTCTCAATTTAAGGGATCTGGTGTTTCCTCTGGAATTTTTTATCGCGTCTCACAGTGAATTAATCTATATTTCGTATTGTCCTTTTCTCCTGCATCATGAAGTAAGCAAACAAATGGAATTTTATCAGGATGACATAGGTTTACTAATTTCATGGTATATATTTAGCATACTACAAAATAAATAATACTGTAAATATTTAAGAATACTAAATGCACAAAGTTACCAGGAAAATTACTTGTCTAGGTATTAGAAAATATATTTCTAGGATAATTAAGACCCAAGTTAGTGGACATAATGCTAATGAATAAGTAGAAGGTTTTTATACAAATAAAAAAATTGAGAGGCCAAGGAGTGAGGAAAGTGTTTGGGGACACGACTTGTATTGCCATCATCAGAAGACAGACTGAAACTTTAGATTGTCCGATTTACTAAACGTTCAAAGCTTGGATTATGAGACTTTATCTGAAACAGATCCTAAAGTTGAGGACATGAGAAAAATAACATGCGTCTAAAGCAAGAGTTTAATGTTGAAAATGAAAATTGTCATATCAGTACAGTGTATTTTGAGTAGGTAAATTAGGTTTTAGATGTCTGATAACGATGCTCAGTTCTCTGTCTCAAAGATCAAATCTTGAAATTCTGTTTAATTGGAGAATATTACTGAGCCATAAGCATTATACGTAACGTGTACTAAAAGACTTTTAGGGTTACCAATAATTATATCAATAACCGTATAGATATTTTAGTTACTGGAGTCTGTAATTTATTATCTGTAACTTAGTCTAATTGAGTGACAGAATACATAATTTACAAATAAATGCTTCTTTTTATAAAACAAAGTCGATAGAACACTAAAAGCGTCCTGATGAGTTAAAGAGCTTATGGAGGTTGTTCGACCTAGTGATGCAAAGTAGCTATAAGTTAAATGGTTGGAACGGACTTTCAAATTTATTTATAGTGATATAGCTACAGTTGGACTGATTTAAGACGGGATTCTCAAGCTATTCACCTTATCGAATGAAGTTCGATCATAATGCGAGGAAAATAGGTACCAATGATGGTACTTCTCATGGGCTCACCTTGTTAATTAGCCGGAGCCTTGAATGTTAACGGCTGGTTTGAAAACCAGTAGTAAAACAAGTTGCTTCACAGGACCTAAACGTCATGGACTGCGTCTTCAATAGAGTTTCGGGTTGAGCAGTCTCATACTTGAAAAAAGGACTGTCCAGTTATACCTGATTTCCAAGAGTTGTCCACTTGATATCAGTTTAAGATATCAAATAACTTCATAAGATATCTTAATCTGACCATTTTACTGCTTGGAATAGATGTTGCAAATGATATGTACTTACTGAAATATCATATAAACATTTTATATCAGTAACCTTAGATTAAAAGACAATACTTCATAAGCCATAATTATTTGCTTTTTCTTACAAAAGGCGTGCATTTTAAAGTTTCTCTTTCACAGTCATCTCCGTATTATAAACACATGACAATGATAGAAACTGAAAATCCACCTTGATTCATTTTAATTTTTTTTATATAGGTCTATACCTAATACTTTGGCTAAAATACATTCTTTTAATTTACAGTCAAACAGATTTATATCATATAGATCAATTTCAAAGATTTTTATACAACTATGTTCTGCTGATTTTAGGACGAGTTGGACAATTATATACCTTTTGCAAACATCAATGAAGTTCAAACAGGTTTGCCTCCATTTTCAATGGATCAACTTAAAAAAAGAATCACTGGCTTACATTTACCGTACGGTACAGGTATATTCACTATCCAGTTGCCTGATTATCAACCTCGATTTGGATATCGAAGGTCAGGTATTGTTCTTCGACAAGCAGTCATTAAAGGGGAAGTAGAAAGTTTATTTGTTTCAGGAGTAGAACATGGTAGTCCAGCAAGCAAGTAAGCATTATTTTACTGTAATTAACTTCTCATTTAATTGCATACTAGAAATTGATTTTTATTTTATCGTTTCAAATAAACAATAAAATCACTGTATTAGTTGTTCTTAATGGTATTTAGTGTTAAGCCAGTTTTATTTAGCAGAAGAAGATGGAATAATCAAGAATTTATCTTTTGAACAATAACATTTTAGGAAAAACTCAGTATGAGTTATCCGAAATACTTCTTACCTAATGTGATATATAACAACCATAAATATCTGTTCTGATTGGTTGTTAAATTACAAACTGTTGATGTACGTTGTAACCATAATGATTCTTCTCGAAGTTGAATAAGGTATCTTCGTTGAATTTTAATAACTAAGTAATTTTACCAACCATTATATCTTACAAATCTAGATACTGTTTTACCTTCATCTATCTGATCATACAATTTACATCAGTTGATTACTGCGTAACAACTAATTTCTTATGTTTATTTTATTTTATTGTATAATTTGAATGTTGCCAATTAAATAACAGAATGATAATTTATTTAAAGGACTAACAATAATCAATTAATCGCTTTCAATGGTTTCAGTTTATTGTTTAAATATCTTAACAATATTTAATTTCAGTCATTATATTCAATCAGGATATGTGTTATTTCCGGATGAGAATAAATGAATGGTAACCGTTAGGAATTACCTACGGATTAATATTATACGTATACTTTTATTGTATGAATATTAAGTAATTGTATTTTATGTATATTCATATTTCTTTCATTATAAGCCTTTATGAATACACGAGTCTTGAGTACTGTTAGAGGTATGAGGGCGGTTATCACTTCCCGGTTGCCCACACTGTGGAAGGGTTCTTCTAGAGGTGTCTGAAAAGAAAATTGGATTAGAGGTGATCTTGGTGACCTGAGAGCGTGACCGCAGTGTTCAAGGGACAACTGCTGGAGGTCGGTCACACACAACCTTTTTATGAGTAATTTTTGTGTTAGCTCCGTACATGTTGAGACCTTACCGCCGGAGACGGATATCCGTCGGATAAGGCGAGGTGTGCATTTTTAGAGTCGACCTTTTCTAACCCCACCCCTCCTTGTGGGAAGGCAGCATCTCTGTCATGCTGGTTGTCTGAAGAAAACACCTTACTGCTGTCACACCTCTGTACAGTTAGCAGTACGACTTCGCCTTCGGACCTTGAGTTTGTTGCTTTTAGTCTTACTGCTCTTCAACCGACCTGTCTGACATGGTAGGACCTTGAGGGACGGTTGTTCCAACCAGTATAGCTCGGTTGCTTCATCACGATAGGCAAGCCTGACCACCACGTCAAGGTAACAATAACATTCTCGTCAACTGAATTCTCAGGTATTGATCTCTTTCCAGGAGGTCCACTTATCGACCTATAATACGCAGATGACAGTCCTGTTTGGTGAAGACGTTGATAAAATGCAGAGTCTTCTGGCAGCACTAAGCAACAATGTCAGAATGTTTGGAATGCGCTTCTCTCCCTCTAAATGCGAGTTGTTGCTTCAGAAGTGGTCTGCGTCAATACCTGAACTAAGGATAGGGAGTGAAGTAGTCGAACGCGTTGACAACTTCACTTATCTTGGAAGTTTGATCAGCCCTAATGGGTTGTTGTCTGACGAAATCTGTGCACGGTTTCGAAAATCTCGTTTGGCTTTTGCTAACTTATGTCACCTATAGCAAAGGATAGATATCCGTCTATCAATAAGAGGACGAGTATACTGCTCAGGAGTTCGTTCTGTTCTACTTTACGACTGCGAAATATGGCCATTTAGAGTAGAAGATACTCGTAAATTGATAGTATTTGATCACAGATGTCTTAGAAATATTGCTCGCATCTGCTGGGAACACCGGGTAAGTAATAGTGGGGTTAGACGCAGGGTATTAGGGAATGATGGCAAATGAGTTAATGGGTTTGTGAATCTTGATCGACTGAGATGGTTGAGCCACGTGTTGCGTGTGCCTGAACACTAATTACCAATCCTAACCGGTGTTGGGGATGGTTGGAAGAAAGTTAGGTGCAGTCAAACCGAAACGTGGCATCAGTGCTTGAAGACACTAACTTCTAGTCTGAGCCACGTTGGTGGATGCAGACTACTTGGTTGGGGTCCGCGTGACTATCGTAACCAATGGTTGGAGACTCTTGATGACAGGGCTCAGAATCGATCACAATGACGTAGGTATATACATTCTCTGTCTTCCTTTAAAATCACTTCATATCTTTCTTTCTACGTACTAATTCCTTCTTTCTATACTATGTTCTTATATGCAATCTTTCTTTTATATATTACCACCATTGAATTAACTACTTCTATGAATATGGTGTTCATCTTGTTATGTTAATGGGGTGTGTCAACTTGAACCGATGCATATATGTACCTGGTCCTACGTTATAGCTGACTGATTGACTGACTGATAAGCTTTTATTTGACTTGTTGATTAATATCACACGATTTATTCTTGAGATATTCCCAATTTATAAATAACATTTACTTACAATCACAGCTACATTTGGCTTGATCTTGTACATATGTTATTTTCTATTTTATGATTTGATGTGGTCTGATTTTACTTGTATATAAACCAAGTATGCTTGAAATATATGATTCGTATCTCGGAGTTTGATATTAGCGTTCTGGACTTAAGAGGAAGGACTAGCTGGGGAAAAGGGACTAATCAGAATTTTAGGCTGCTCGTACTGCTTTATGCATCATAAGTTGGGTCGTATAAGTCAGCGTATCTAAATTGGCAATCGTAATTCACGGTAATCATATAGCTAAGGACATAACAATTAGAATAAAGTTTTTCAGATGTTTTTGTTTGTTTATTTGTTTGTAAGTCCTTTATTGATTTAGTCAATGAAGAATATTTATAAATGTGAAACGGATATATAAATATATATCTTCGTAAATTTTTAATTGATTTTAATTATTAGATTAATGATAGAGAATGTTGTTAAGGTCATACTCACTAATCACCATTATGAGTTTGTTTACCTTATACAATTAAAGTAATAAATATAACTTTACATTTTGAGCATTTTGTAATTTGATACAATTTCAAAAAAAAATGTAATTCATTATCGAATTTAATAAACTGTTGATTGTATGTATTTTAATGATGACAAATTATAGTACTATACTACTTGAAAGTATGTACATGAATTTTGGAAGTAGTAAATTTGAGAAGTTTATTACCTTTAATGAATGTTATCTTTTTTTTTTTTTGGATATTTAATAATAAACATTTAATATATTGAAATAACCAATATACTATGTATCATGTCAGATAAATGAAAGAACTTAAGTTTAACTTCTGAAACTTCTAATTCATAATTTCGATGGTGATAATAATAATACAAACTTTCATCAACATGGCTTATAGGTTTAAAATTCACTTAGTTTGGTTTGAGTCATTGATTGATATTACTAACTCTTACATAAAATATGCATATAGGTACCATTACCATTGTTTGACTTGATTATTTCGAATAAATTGAGTATTGGATAGATTGTTATAAATAAATTTATATACTTGTAATATTTCAATGCTTTGGTTATTTATTCTCTAAAGAAGTAACTTACACTGAATCACGAAACATCAGAAAATTTGATTTTTTTTACTCATAGGATATTACAACTATCTTAATTTATTTATAAAATGTGTAGTTCATTCATGAGTAAACAAATCTATACTTAGTTATTGGTGAATAAATATAACGAATGAGTTTTGTTCTGTGTAATATTTAAATTGAAAGAACACCTATTTAGAAGTGTGATTCTTATTTATGTTTAATCACATTGTACATTGTATTCTTTTTATTAGGATTTTCAGTTCTAATTCGAAAATCCATATCAACTTCATCAACTACTTGTAATTTTAAAATGTTTACAGCTGATGAAACATCATGAATTAAAATGATGAATTCATTTTGTTTTGTAAATTGTCAGTCAGTCAGTCAGCTACAACGTAGGACCAAGCACATATGTGCATCGATCCAAATTGCCATACCTCATTAACATAACAAGATGAACACCATATTCATAGAAGTAGTTAATTCAATGGTGGTAATATATAAAAGAAAGATTGCATATAAGAACATAGTATAGAAAGAAAGAATTAGTACGTAGAAAGAAAGATATGAAGTGATTTTAAAGGAAGACAGAGAGTGTATATACCTACGTCATTGTGATCGATTCTGAGTCATGTCATCAAGAGTCTCCAACCATTGGTTACGATAGTCGCTTTGTAAATTGTATTAGGGATAAAATACGTATCTGTGCATTTTTTTATGTTTGTGCAATATTTAGCCTTTTTTTCGTTCATTTGGTAAATAAATGCTTCATATAAGAGCATAATTACCACTGAGGATTACATTTCAAGCTTCACATTTCATTTTATTTACTTTTTAATGAGTCAAGTCTAGATGCGTGTCAATAGAAGATATATGCTCATAGTTTTAGATGATTAAAATGATGTCCCCAGTGAGAATTACACTCTTTTATGCAGAATAGACACATTAAATGGACAGAAAAATGTTCAATAAAAGTTGGATATCATGCTTTGATTTAGGAATGAAAAAATATGATTATCCTCTTAGTTGTATTGTTTTTATTCTGTGCAAACTATTTTATTAACAAGTGTTTATATAATCCGAATATGTACTTAGTACCAATTGTCGCTTCTTTTTACTTTGTTTTGTTATATATTTAGTAACTGTTCATATAAACCACATGATTGCATTGATTAATTCACTCATTATGTAATTCTTACAATTATTTTGTTTGTTTATATTTTTGACTTAACAAAAGTTCGAGAATGACTGTTTGTTGCTGTCATCACAAAGATTATGTTGTTTATTATTCTGTCCTTTAGAACTAACTTACATTACATTGAAAAAAAAAACATAAAGAATAGGTGTGATATTTTGTGTATATCTTTATATGTGCGTGTGTTGAGATGGCTTCAGTTGGTTGATAGATTGTTTACTTAATTATTTTTCTAGTATAATCAATAATTAAGCGGAGTCAATGCACCTTATGTTGGACAATGTGATTTGTTGAATTATTGTGAATATTAACGACTGATATATGTATATAAATGTTGAGTAATTGTTATTTTGTATTCTTATATGTGTCGATCTGATACAAAATAGTTAAGACTGTCTTATTCCGATGCAGTCTAGTAAAATAGTTGAATATATTACTATTTTATCTTTCCGAATGCTTTATATTATTTGTCTGTATAGAATCATCACACAGCTGCTATATAAATGGTACTTATACCATCAGTTAACCCATTCTTATGCACTTATATTCATCACTAAGGTTTATCTGAAACTATAGTGTAGTTGTTCGATTCGAATAAGGTGGTTTGCTTTACCCGTATTTCAATAGTAAAATTCTTTGGATGTCGTAATTTTCAGCAGGGTTTCAGACATGTCTTATTAATAGGCCAAGATAGATAGTGGCTAGCAGTGGAATCCAGGACGCGCGTTTCGTCCTACTTGAGACTTGTCATCTGGAAGTACTTGCATCTCAGAGTTGATGTCCACTATGGCACTCGAACCCAGTACGGTACACTTCAAACGCCATCACCTTATCCACTTAGCTACTGAGTCCTGATAGCCACTTGCTTGTGCAATGGAGTGAAGTTTGAATCACTTGATATTGTTTTACTTGAATCTTCCCACTGATGTTTTAGGACTATCAGGACTCAGTAGCTAAGTGGATAACGCGACGGCGTTTGAAGCGAACGGTACTGAGTTCGAGTCCCAGAGTGAACATCAACTCTGAGATGCAGGTACATCCAGCTGACGAGTCCCAAATAGGACGAAACGCGCGTCCTGGATTCCACTGCTAGCCACTATCCATCTTTGCTTATAATGCCTGTAAATTAAGGCAATATCGAGGCATACGCACAGTATGCACATATGCCAATAAGAGACTGATCATATTTCAGTCCTAAAACATCAATGGGAAGATTCAAGTAAAACAATATCAAGTGATGTTTTATTAATTGTCAATAAATTGAAAGCTTAAATTCAAAGCTTTCTCTTAATCATACATAACTATTGTATATTTTTAGAATTCCAACTCATTATTGACTTTTTCAGTTCAGTCTTCATCTTGTTAATTTGAATTACTAAATTCTCCTATCACAATATACACAGCATGACGTCAGATGTTTTTCATTGGTCGATTATTTGACAGCGCATTAAAGGAGCATCACAAACAGGATAAAATTTAAAGATTTTCTTAAAAACAAAATTCAGTGATCACATTAGCTCAGTGTACTAGGCTCTAAGAGGTATTTTACAATGGTGCTGGATTGTTAATAATCAAGCGAGTCTAGTATCTAGACCGGTTGACAGCCCTAGATAGTTTAGGTTAAGAAAGTGAAAGATATCATTTTATTCAGAATTTTTAATTAGCTGATTTACAGTGGTATTTCAAAAACGGGTAATGTGTCTTTAATTTTGTTTTAACTAAAGGTCAAGAGGGTCAGTGCTATATAAATAGTAAATATTCACCTTATGCACTACAGTTAGATGTGTTGGCTTCTCATACATCGGATCATAGCCACCATTAATGAAAAATCACTATTTTGTAAGAAAAATAAGAAGTGATCACAATTAGATATGGATGAATAAATATAACCTATTTACTTAGTTTATAGGTTGTAGTGATATTCACCTATCACTCTTAACGATAAAATGTTGATTTCAGTCATTAAGATTGTCTTCATCATATTGTCCTAAATATTACATATGACTGTGTACAGTTCCTCAAAGTAAGCACTTTGAAGACAGTAATTATTAAGTAGTCTCATGACATTAATGAAGAAGGTAAGATATTCGATAATTTTGATGTTTGATTATAATTCCTTGAAAAAGCTTGGACTAGATTGCCAAGTGAAACGTTGGACTTACTTCAAATTCATTCGCTAAGATTTTACAAATACTTCCTCCCTCATTAATCTCCCACATCAACTCGGCGCTCAAATACTATGAAACTATTCGATCAAATTTAGACGAAAGTTCTAATATATAGCCTGTTATGCTTGTGAATCAATAAAATCGGTAAACATTGAAGATGTCGTTTTGCAGTGAAATCGATTATGACAATTTTCTAAAGGTTAACAAGACTGTGCCTTTGGCTTTAAGCAAGTTATTCTACAAATTAATACCCATTTTTAGTATTAGACATGGTCCTTATTAACGCAAACACATTCAATGATTTCTATCAGACTATTTACCAGAATGATTTCCAAGTATGAAGCATTAATCCTAAATTTACTGTTGAATAAATTTAGTAATTAAGTCATTTACCTAGACATTTTGTCAATTGTGACGACTCCAAACATTGTCATGAGGACGTCAATATTAGATTGCTGCATATGTTAGTTCAAGTGGAAACATATGGTTACTCGCCTAGTTTAAGCTTATGAACCCCTTTACTTTAGCATATAATGTGCGAGTTTGGAAAGCTGTAGCAAAGACTGTTACCCGTTCAACTGATTGTACTATATGTATATGGTTGCCTTATACCGTATGTTTCATGAGATTCATGAATAAAAGGCTTTGAAGAGTTTTAATAAGCTTCCCAAATCAACTAAATATAATCTGACTTACATTTTTGTTTTGTGTGCTTTAAAGAAGAGTTTTCTTTTTTTACCAGTATATATACATATATATATATATATACTTGAAAATGCTTTCAAAAGAATTAAAAGTTGAGCTATAAAACAAGAGGTTTATATTTGTTTGTATGTTTTGTTTATTTATTATCACAGTGCAATGGATTTGCATATGGGAGATCGTATATATTCAATATCAGGTTACCCATTAGACTGGCATACATTAGAACAACTAAGATACAAGCTAATTGAACTGGATGGATTGGCACCAAATTCAAATATTTACGATTTAGCAAACTATCTACTTAATAGGCCTTATCAGAACACTGGGATTTCCCGCGATCATATTTATAATAGAAATAGTAGTGTTTATAAAGTTCCTAGCGAACAAACTAGTTTAACAGATTTTAAACCACCAGTTCTTGTCATTTTTCGTTATCCAAAGTCAAATTCATTGTGGTCCAATCAAATAGCTAATAACGAGACAAATGAATTACCAGTAAGTTTAATTCATACTTAATTTTCAAAATGGTGCCTAATCAAATAATCCATAGACAATCACAATTCCTAAAATCACTATTCAGGCTATCATGGCATAAATAACCAAAGTAATCTACTTACTGATCGCCAAAAATCATTCGAATTTCGCTTCATATAAATGTAGCAACACTAAAGGCAGTTAATTTATGATCATATAATTTTGTGACAAAGTATTGGGATATCAAAAGATTTCGATTTTATAAGCAAAGATGGATAGTGGCCAGCAGTGGAATCCAGGACGCGCGTTTCGTCCTACTTGAGACTTGTCATCTGGAAGTACTTGCATCTCAGAGTTGATGTCCACTATGGCACTCGAACCCAGTACTGTACACTTCAAACGCCATCACCTTATCCACTTAGCTACTGAGTCCTGATAGCCACTTGCTTGTGCAATGGGGTGAAGTTCTAAATTCACTTGATGTTGTTTACTTGTATCTTCCCATTGTTGTTTAGAACTGCAATTGATCAGTCTCCATCTTTGGTTATGGAGCTTGTGACTTAAGGCAATATTGAGGCAGTCCTCACAGGATGCACATATGCCAACAAGAGACTGATCAGTTGCAGTCCTAAACAACAATGGGAAGATACAAGCAAACAACATCAAGTGGATTTTGATTTTAGAAATATTTATAGAAACTTTTTGACAAAAAGTTGTAACTAATTAGGTGTTTTAAACAAGTTTATAAAAACCATTTTAAATTCAACAGTTTTGTCAAGCTTACTGATTTCTTAAATTGCAGATGGCAGAGAATAACAGTTTATTCAGTTGTTATGAAACAGTTCTTGAAAATGAAGGTAATGACAATGGGCTTGGTCTACAGATAGGATCCAATCAAGGTATGATGTAATATGATTGAAGTGTTCATGAATATTATTTTGTGATAAACTGAAATGCTTTATGATCCTACCAGATACCAATTACCATTATAATGACGAGAGTTCATTAATATTAAATCTCCATCTGACAAATTATTGAAGAGGAATGATAAGGATGTATTATTAAATAAGAACTTTCGTCTAAATTTGATCGAATAGTTTCGCAGTATTTAAGCACCCAGTTGATGTGAGACATTAAAGAAGAATGTATTTGTAAAATCTCAGCTTGGACCAGATTGCTAGACGAAACGTTGGATTAAATTCAAATTCATTCGCTGAGATTTTACAAATACAATTAAGAACTGTTCTCTGGTAACATAGTTTTTCGTTAAATAGATGTTACATCATCCAAAGTCCAAAAAGCCCTGAGAGTAAATTATAGTTTTTTATTTAATTGAAATATATCGTTACACTAGACTGTGACTTATCATTATCATTTAACTACAATGAAATATTCAGTTTTACTCATAACATTTCAGTAAGAATTGAATTCCATTACACAGTTAGTAGGAATATCTGAGAACTGATGAATATTACATACTGATAAAGTTATTTTTGTCTGTAATCTAGGATGACTGAATGATCGTTTATTGTGTTGTCATTTTTTAATAAATCTAACAGATAATACAGGAATTCACATTGTATCTATATTCAAAAATAGTCAAGCTGAAAGAGATGGTGTTCTAAGAGAAGGTGATCGTGTAATTGAGGTAATTTTGTTTAAAATTGTAACCAATGATTAGTGCAATTTAAGAAATAACAGATTACTATTATTGTGGTCAAAATTATTTATGAAAACTTCATATTGAAAGCTCAATTGGTGAAGTTTGGAAACACAGATTTTCCTTTATAAGAAATTCAGAAAAAACACGCTTAAAAGTTCTCTGAAGTTGTTTGATCCTATAGCGGTTTAATAAATTACAGTACTTGCTCAAAGTAAAACTTACCCTACACTCTCGGAGTGACTGTAGAGGTCACAATTCACTATGATTAATTAAATAATCAGTCTTTAAATTGTGTAGTCTGTTGTTTGAAGTTTCATAAATAGAGAAACTGATTTCATAATTGATAATATGCCGTCCTGAATAAGCTTTTCAATGTTTGATACTTATGAAATATCTGAAAAATGTAACATGGGACAATTTCTGAAACCGTGTTCAGTGGAGGAAATAAAACTGTAAATGTATTATTCCATTATGTCATACAATTTTCAGATAATAACTAATACAACTGATAATTCGATGTGGGAATATTGATTTAAAAGAAAATCCGTCTTTCAATGTGGAATAGAATCAATATACCCGTCTAGAATATGTGTTCATAAAATACTAATTCAGTTTTGAAGATCAAATAGCATTTTATGTAATTTGGACATTTTCAAGTGGATTGATTTCAGTACATTAACTGATTGATATCAACCATTTATTTTAAAAAACTCTACTAAGTACACATTAGCGAAAGAATTAAAATCAATAAATATATAAGTAAATTCTCTAATAGTTGAGTTTATGAGTCAATTAAAGCCATACCACCATAAAAAACCTGGAAGCACTAGATGGCCATTTCGTCCTAATATAAAACTCCTCAGTAGTGCGCATCCATGAACTTCGGTCTCGCGCGCGAGTGTCTAACCTCTAGACTAATGAGCCGGCCAGCATCCAACGAGGTAAATATCTAAATTCAACAAACCCACGAAATTGCACCACCGTGGATGCGCATTGCTGAGGAGTTTCATAGTAGAACGGAATGACCATCTAGTGCTTCCAGGCTTTCCATGGTGGTCTAGCTTAGATTGACTCATGAATTCAACTATTAAACTTACTACAATCTCCTCGAAACCCCTTTCTGAAAATAAATTATTGCTTAAAAAATGACAATTAAATTAACTACAGAGGACGAAAAGCGAATGTTGGGCGCTTTAGCCGGATTGGTGGATATGAAGGATCCACCTAGGAAAGTTGGAAAACCCTGATTCCAGGAACCAGTGGTGCACATGGGCTCCCGACAGAAAAAAAGGCGTATAAACTAGTCGTTGGTCACCGGCAACCATGGGACTGCATCTCTTTACGTTGCTCCACTGGCTTGTGGATTAGACCTTTAGGTCAAACGCTAGGGATTTTGTTCCCGTAAGAAAACCAGCTGCTTCGGTTTGGGAACTCAGGCAGTATCTCAGCCCTCACATAAATCATCCGATTTATATGATGCACGTATATTTGGTGCCTTCCTTGTACCAATGTTTATGTGTTTAAATAAATAAATAAAATAATTTACCAAACTTGTTTAAAAATACACTTTTATTAATTTGTAATGCACATCATAATTGTCTTTTTCTTCCTTTTTTTCTGAAATTATTTTCTAGGTGAATTATCAGAATCTTGAGGGATTAGAAAGTAAACAAGCTTTGAAAAAAGTTAAAAGTATATGTCGTAACACTAAATATGTACAAATTAAATGTTCAAGAAATAATCAAACTACTAATAATAATAATCATTGTAAGTTGGGTTTATTTTAATTCTTATTCTGTTTGTTAATTCAATTACATGAATCGTTAATTTCTAAATGTAAATAATAATTATTTGGAATTCCTTAATTGAAATTGACTATCTTTAGTCTACTATGTATAATTTTGATCATTTTAATGATTAAATTCCTTTGGTGTTTTAAAAGTCTAGTCTAATAATTAGTTTTATTTAACCTAATTAGTGCTATATATTAATTGTAAATTTTGAGTTACATACTATGTTTAATAATTCAATGTTTATAAGTGATACTGTGGTGTATGCTACTTATGTCAACAGACATAAGTAGTTTGTAACAGTATTCGGAAGTGGAAAACCTGGCAGCAGAAGACGGTGAAACTGTAATCTATGGATGACCTTTGAGCGACACTAGACTGATATTGATAGTGTCCACCTGATAACTAGGACCAAATGAGGGTTAGAAATTAGTGTGAGTGATTCGAATTATGATTTGCAGTTGATGGTTAAGGTTAGGAATTAGATTTAAGGATTTCATCACGAACTGACATAAGCTATAATGCCAAGACTCTATTTAACCAAATGTATGAGTGAATTTCGCGCCAAAATCCAAGACCTGTTATTTAATACGTGATTGGTTCGTCCATAAATTGTACTCTCGCCCAGAAGACTATGAAGATTGAGTTGAAGAGAATAGAAGGGACAATAAAAAGGAATTGTGAATTTGAAGAATCATACAGAATGTGAAGGACAATTGATGGAAATTTACAAATGAGGTATTCAGTATATGGTTAGCATATCAATAAGTAACGATTCTTTTACATTTGTAAGAGTAATATTACACGTGATATCCTCATTTGTCATATATTATCACTTATATCAATGCGCATTAAATTATCGATAAACCAGCGATGATAAAATCAGAATAACTCATCATGATTTCGTCCTGAATGAATGATTAGAAAAATGTCATTAACTTTAAACATCTTGTTAGGCTAGAGGATAATTCATGGTCTCTTATAGCATTTTTTCTTTCTGAGATACCATAAGAGTTATTTGGTTAAAATAATTTCTACAAAGGTAATACATTGAACATTGTAATACCTAACTAAATATTATAAACTTCCTTTATCATTGTTTTTATAGTGATATCACCTTGTGATGATAAAAAAGAACAGCTTGAAGACAATAATCTACATGATCCTATATTGAATAATGAAGATGTTAATAATATTAGTATTGATGTGAAAAGTGTTTTAACTCGGACACAATCACCGACAATGAATAATTCAGATACATCTATATATGATTCTCAAGATGATTCTGTCTTATTTTATAATTGTAAATTCAATCAACCTGGTAAAAAATGTTATTATTTAAATTCAATGTAAAAATATTGCTTATTATTGTATTATACATTTATGTATAATTTTTTAAATATTTTGTTCTGGTTTCAATTATGAAACATGAAAGATTAACATGATCCAATAGGTTAATTGTTTCATGTTGATTAAAAAGTAGCCAACAGGAAAACTTGAACCTAGGTTTCGTACTACTTGGCACTCGTCAGCAAGGTTTACCTGTATTATTCTTGAGAGGACTGATGCTCCCTGACGGGCTCGACCCCATGTCACCCAGCTTCACAGTCAGAGACGTTACCAATGGACTATCCGGGTCGTGACTGACCTCCTCTACGACTGAAATGTATTTACAATTGATTGATCACTGGGTGGTGATTAATATCATGTATGTCAGATCCTTTTAGTGCAGATCGAATCCTATCGACCAAGTAATTGTTAATTGGAATTTGTATGTTTAAAATAATTCATCAGATTACCGGATAATATCGCAATATTGTAGTTGTGATGTATTCATTATTAATTTCATTATTATTACACCATTTTATTATCAAGAATCTTGTAAGATGTGATTTTATAGTTTCAACGTTCCGTGATAAAAACCATAACAGTTAGTTGTCAGTCAGTCAGTAACAACGTAGAACCTCGTACGCACGTACATTAGTTCGAGTTGCCATACCACATTAGCACATAAATGCAGTTGTCGATTCAATTCCAATAGTGGTAGAGGTAGCAAAAGTATAAACAGTAATCGGAAAGACTGTAGAGGGGTGTGATAGCAGTAAGGTGTTTCCCTCTGACAACCAGAATCTGCAGCGATACTGCCTTCTCACAAGGAAAGAAGGGGTTAGAAAAAGTCGATCCTAAAAATGTCACACCTCACCTTACCTCATGGATTTTCGTCTCCGACGGTAAGGTCCTTTGAAGAACGGAGCTAACACATCAAAAACCTCCCACAAAAAGGCCGCGCGCGATCGGCCTGAAGCAGTTATCCCTTGGGCTCTTCGGTCACGCTCCCAGGTCGTTAAGGCCAACATCAATTATCATGACTAACTTTGATTACAAATTAATCAGGTACATGAATAAAGAAGACCTATGTTCAGTAATGAGATATATTCCCTGTAATAATTTTGAATGTGCTTAGTAAGCTCTTTCTATGATTGATTTTCATCTTATCATTTATGATATCCGTAGAAAATTTTACTGTCTATCCAGTTTTTAAGTAAATAGTCTAATATCTTATTAAAAAACCATGAACAAAACTCGCTAACAATGCGACCGTAGTAGACAACTATTTCTGAGTATGTATCAAGTTTCAAATTCTTCATCAGCTAATAAGACTAATTTTTTAGTTCCTTTTACTTACCTATATATATATATATATATATATATATCACATTATTTATTTGATTGTTCCTCTAATAGATGAAGAATGTATGAATGAGACGGATAGTAATGATAAAAGTTTGTTGAAAAAGTGGTTAGATGTATTCAATCCTGATGTTGAATTATTGGTAAGAAACTATATTATTATCGTTGGTATTATTATGACAGTTATACACCAGTTAATTTATATGACTATGTATATATCTCATAGTAAACGGCTTCTTTTTTTACAGTTATATATATGAAACCATGATACAAAGATATTGATATGTAGCATTATTTTATCACAAGAGTTTACAATATTTATCACGATACGAAAGTTACTTCATTGATTTCTCTGTTACAGAAACACTAGTAACATCTGAGACATCCAACTAGATGACGAGCGTTAAAAATATCATAGAAGAAGACCTAATAAATAACCTTGATTGTTTTGTAGTGTTTGAACAAAATACAATTTATTCAGATGTTCTTCCAAAAATTATTAATTTCATGTGATAAGAACTTTGTAATGAATAATACCTCGATAAGAGGGAATTTAATATTAATCACTGCTGATTTACAAATTGAAACACTATTTAAACATCCCACTTTTAGGTAATCAGTTAAAATTAGCAAAATGCATAAAGATGTCCAATGGGGATTGAGAGATTAAGAGGGATATAGAATTTAGAGATCTTTAATTCCCCCTTTGTAGTTTAAAAATAAATATGTCTGCATAGTTGGAATTATGAGCTATGCATCATAATTCGTTTAACCATAAGTTCTACAGTTGAGACAAGTATTCTGTATTTTCATCTGTATATTATTTGTTATACATTATGATGTGTAATATATTTCCTGGTGTACATTCGTGTCTTTTTTTTGAGTATTTAATCAGATCTATTCGTTCGACTACACGAAAGAAACCATATATCATTAAATATGTGACGGATAATATTTCAAACCTCACCCAAACAGTCATTTTTTCACAATCTTATTTATGTGTTTATCCCTTCTAAATGTTTAAACAAACATTCTGTTCAAATGTACTTATCCTATTGTACTTATCAGTCCATTGCTGCATTTTATTAGTTATTTGAACGGATACTTAAGATCTTGGTAGATATTTTTATGCCATAAAATTTCATTAACGGACATTTCTTTATTGTAGTATTACGTTGAATCATTTCAAATGATATATTTCAAGGTCTATGTATTTGTTAGTCAATCAACGGTTGCCATGGAGTAGCTAATCGTATTCACCTCTTCTGTTGATCATGTTCTTCTTCACCCATATATACAAAGCTGCGGCTGTCAATGTTACTTCATGAGCGCCGAGACCGTTCTGAAGTATTTTCATGCGTTCAAAGTTTATCCTATTTTTGATAGAGGTAGTGCTATTGTCGATTTACTTTCAAGTTTCTTGAGTTAGTCTGATGATTTCGGAAATTTTCCAAACATTGTTTGTGCTCCCCGTTCACCTACATTATTAACTGTGTGGATATTTATCCCACACACACCGTATTATGCTCATGATACCCAATTTCGAACACACTCTTTTTATTTCTCTCATGGTATCCTATCCTTTACTTTCACTAATGCCAATCTGGCGGTATCTTTAGCTCAAAAACAAGCTGTTGTATCATGTTTATACAGACTTCTTCCTATGTCTTCCAATGTTTCGTCAACACATATATAGCATTATTTAACTATGAACTTATGTTTTTGTAGTTAGTATATTATGACATCAAAAATTCAAATTGTGGTTTGGGTATTGGCGTCGGGGATACTGTAGAAGATGACGAAATATTTGGTGAAAATCAACATCGTCATTATATAATGGAAATTAATCCTGAAGGACCTATTGGCAAAGATGGAACCTTATCTATTGGAGATGAGTTACTTGAAGTTAGTTTTCTCTATTTGTTATGATTTGTGATAAATATGAATGAATTCATTTTCTTTATAATGAAAACAATCTATCTCATTATTACAAAGGTCACAGAGTTGATTTATAAAATTGATTTGAAGTGTATAAGCAAGATACATTTTTACTATAATTTTCAAGATAGCTAAGGTAGATAGGCAAACTAGAAGTCATCGTAGCGAATTAATTTGAAAGACTAGGTATAGTATTCACCCTGTTTTATGAATACATTCTAATTATGAAGAAACCAATAAAAGATAGGATCTCATTCATAAGCCTGATTTCTAAGCGTTTGAGAATATGGAGTATTAGTTTCGATGCATTTTAAATAATAAACATTCAGAGTATATCGAAACTATTCCACTTCTCAGAAGGAATTGTCATAAAGTGTTGACAAAAGGATCTAGTCCATTATTTTATTCTAATAATTTATTCATTGGGAGTTTTGATTTTGATGACCTAGTTATTTATCGTTTTCAGTTCTCGATTTTAACTCATTCCAACAATCTGTTTAGGTAATCAGTTAACAGTGATAACGTTTCTTCATTAATTAAGATCTGAAAATTGTCTTTCTAACCTGATGAGGCTTGTTTTTTTTTATTTTCTAATTTGATTTGTTTGCAATGATTTTGAGTAATTATTTTATCTTCTCACAATAAATAATACTGTTTGATTGAATTATATTAGTTATTACTGAAATTCCCAGATGTTTGTTACTGAATAGAAACCAAGTTTATTAATAAGATACTGATTAATTTCACTTGGTTCAACTGTATGTCTTTCTATAATGATGTTTTTTCTCTCACTAAATTATTCACTTGTCAAATATTAGAATACATAAATTTTTGTCTTATCATCTGTTTTGGTAGAAATGGATATGTTTACTTTGTGCTTTGAAAGTTATATCTGATATGATTTAGTATTCACTGCTGAAAAGTCTCATACTAGGACGAAACGGCTGTCCAGTGCTTCCAGGTTTTTCTTGGTGGTCTAGCTTCAATTGATTCATGATCTCAACGATTAAGAGAGAGAACCATTAAAAACAAGAGAATATAAGCTGTTTTGACCTATTATGAAACTTAATAGTACACACGCTACAAGCTCGCTAAAGGTGGAATTGGGTCTCATAGTCATTATTTAATCTTCTAGGCTACTGGATCATAAATTCAGTTAATTTGTAACATTGTGTGTACGACATTCATTGTCTTTGATGATATATGTTATATTCCTAAGGTGACTAGATTTTACAAAACATGACGTTTTACTAGAAGTTTAGGAATTGAACTCAAACCCAATCACTAATGTTTTATTCAAAAGTTTTGGATTGTTTATCTCAGACCGAAGCTTATTTTCTTTACAAATTGATATTGACAGTGGGACCAAAGGAAACCAGAAAGTTATTGAAAAGCTGTAATCTTGTTGATTTGGATATCTCAGCATTTTAGTTTTCTTCTACAAACCAACAATTAGTTATCATCTAAAACCATAGTATAATACATTTATTTTTTTCACGTTTTAATAATATAACTACACATGTCTTATATATTTCAGATTAATAATGTTGTTATCGTTAACAAAGATCATTTAGAGATCTCCAGCATTTTTCCTACTATTCCTTCTGAAGGATATTTAATATGTGCTCGTTATCCAAATAAATCTCGAATTGATATCAAAGTAGAGAGTGAAAATGATGAATTAGCCAGTGTTGTTTTCTTCACTCAAACTCTAAGTGATGGTGAGATTCCTAATGACGATTGCAATGAGCAGATTTCGGATAATAATCTTTTCAAAGAAACCAATTCAGGAATTAAAAATAACATAGCCTTAGCACCACCGAACAATGAAGAAGGAATTGATCAACATTCTGGATCTGATATTGATGAAAGTCGATATCCAATAAAACTATTGACGATTTCTAATTCTGCTCTGCAGAATAAAAGTTCCAGTCTTGAATTCCAAAGTGAAGATATTCAAACTGATAAAATGGTATTTTTCTAAAACATGGTACTTGATTTTGTCAGTGTTTCATGATCACTAAGAATTTTTAACGATATATAACCAATATTAGTAGTATTTCACTTTTATCCATTTAACTAGTGGAATTCTCAACAAAATCGTATTTACAATTATAATTTCGTGAAGGTTGTTGTGACGGACGGGATGAAGGGTCAAAATTAGATTGATTTACTCATTATGATTTTTATTCAACATTGATTCCGTTTAATTCAATTTGATAATCAATCAGTATACTATTTGTTTCGTTTACCCCTATGACATTTTATTCTGTATAATATACGATATTCTTGTATGAATTATTTTTCATATATAAGATTTATTCTGATTATTAATCGAAAATGGGTGTACAAACCAATATATAAATGGGTGTATTTCCGACTCGATTTGTCGGAATATATTTCCCTTTCTTGAACTTCCACATCTCTCTCTAGTTAGCAGGGTTGGGACTCATCAGAATAGCTAGCTTATTGGTCTTTGGTCACAGAGTCTTTGTTTCGTTCGCAGACTAGGTGAACTCGTAATCGCTTCAAGCATAGCAGGGATGTTGAGATGATTCAATCAAACTTGATAATTTCAACCGTAGTGCAGAGAAATTACAATGAAAGTTCTCAATAGCCTCTGATGTGAAGTTTATATTTCAATCTTACTTAGTCATAAGAAAAGAAATTTAGACCATTTAATATTTTTTGTTATGAACTAGGCTCTTGGTTGACATATTGATCATTACTAAATTACTGTAGTTAAGTTGAGCTACTTTAAACTCTATTCAGTAGTTAGGTGCTAACTATATAAATTTCAAATGTGCTTTAATTTGTTAATGTTTAACAGCCCATTCTCTAATCAAGCAGGTTTTAACTGAATCTAATTAATATCGTCATTTCAATATTAAAACCTATTGACTAAGACTTCTGTATACATTTGTTATACAGAATTCTACTGTTATAGTTAAGATATTCACTAATTGAAATGGGATTTCAGAATTAATGACATGGTTTTAAACAGATATTCGTTAATGATTTTCGGTAAATGGTTAAATGTACATCATGATATTTTACACTACTTCTTCTATGTTACACTAGCACGTTCAAAAATATATAATGCTGCGGAAAATATGTATAAATATGTATATATTAATATGTGCTGTCAGATTTATTACGAAATTAACAACGTAGACAAGTGTTTTAACGAAATATTTCGGATGACTTCGCACTTACAGTTTATCATATTAGTAATAAGGATCGCGTTTCATAATTTTTGTGGCGAACATAGTCTAGCATTTTTTTAATACTCTTAACTCTGTCGTTTTATTTTACTTTTAGAGTTACGAGTTAGTTAAAGTTTACGGACATATATACCAGAATTTTAGAAAAGAAACATTTTATAGCTCAAGTGAAAGGTAGTCAGAATACGTTTAGCAGAACTTTGATGTAAACATTTGAATATCAGTTCTTCTTTATAGGTCACAGGGCTTGAGGTTAATTGGTTCCCGTCAAACAAACCATTTTTAAAGATTGATTGTATACGGATTATCGATATTGTCCCATTTCACTTTACTATTCTGGTCAGATCAAGCTTCATACTTAATCAAAACTCTAATTCTGTAGGTTTACCATATAAAATATCGACTGTGTTGCTTATGGGTAATTACTCCATCAACTATTCATTTGTTTCTTTTACGTAGTTAATACCTTTATTTTGTAAAAAAATTACGTGTATTTATTTTAGATAAACGAAGATATTAAACCAGAAATTGATAAGAATAACCTAATAATGAGTGATCAGAAACCTATCGAATCGACACTAATAAGTTCACTACAACGTCTACCAATGGCTGTTAAATTAGTGAAATCCATGGAAAAATTACCGTCTCAAGTGTTCGGTTCAATTTCTGAAAATAATAATCCAGACCATACTAATCTGATTCAATCGAATGAAATAACCAATCGAAATGATGATAATGATGTGTTAACTGTTAAAGTTTTGAAAAAAGCCGGTGAAATACTTGGTAAGGTATAAAAAATAAATTAATAGAAATAAGTTTTTAGTCCATAATAATTATTTATCTTATATGTGATATTGTGACTGTAATTTACATAACTATTTATGAATTCTAGTAATCTAAGAGTATCATTTTCTTCTATGGATATGGATAATTTTATGCCAGGCAGTGCCGTTGATGCTTATAACTTAGGAATAAGAAACTTAAGTCGACAAGCTTTCAGGTCACGGTGTTTTTCAATCGTTTTATAGGTAGTAACATTAGCCAGCTTTGGTGAACAATTGAAAATCAAATAAATCCTGTTAGTTCAGAAAGTTTCTCGAACACTACTAGTCGAATCAGAGCCTAAGACGAACTGTCGTCTGATTTTGAGACCTCAAGTGGTGTTCGTTGAGGCTGTCCACTATCTCTTTGTTTAACCTACTTCTGGAAATAACGCTCTTGTCGACTGAATTCTTGGGGATTGATCTCCTACCACGATATAGGTCTGTTTGGCGAAGACACCGATAAAATGCAGAGTCATCTGGTAGAACTAAGCAACAATGCCAGAATGTTTGGAATGCGCTTCTCTCCCTTTAAATGCGAGTTGTTGCTTCAGAAGTGGTCTGCGTCAACACCTGAACTAAGGATAGGGAGTTAAGTAGTCGAACGCGTTGATAACTTCACTTATCTTGGAAGTCTGATCAGCCCTAATGGGTTGTTGTCTGACGAAATCTGTGCACGGTTTCGAAAATCTCGTTTGGCTTTTGCTAACTTATGTCACCTATGGCAAAGGAGAGATATCCGTCTATCAATAAGAGGACGAGTATACTGCTCAGGAGTTCGTTCTGTTCTACTTTACGACTGCGAAATATGGCCATTTAGAGTAGAAGATACTCGTAAATTGATAGTATTTGATCACAGATGTCTTAGAAATATTGCTCGCATCTGCTGGGAACACCAGGTAAGTAATAGTGGGGTTAGACGCAGGGTATTAGGGAATGATGGCAAATGAGTTAATGGGTTTGTGAATCTTGATCGACTGAGATGGTTGAGCCACGTGTTGCGTGTGCCTGAACACTAATTACTACGACGTGCAATCCTAACCGGTGTTGGGGATGGTTGGAAGAAAGTTAGGTGCGGTCAAACCGAAACGTGGCATCAGTGTTTGAAGACACTAACTTCTAGTCTGAGCCACGTTGGTGGATGCAGACTACTTGGTTGGGGTCCGCGTGACTATCGTAACCAATGGTTGGAGACTCTTGATGACAGGGCTCAGAATCGATCACAATGACGAGGTATATACACTCTCTGTCTTCCTTTAAAATCACTTCATATCTTTCTTTCTACGTACTAATTCCTTCTTTCTATACTATGTTCTTATATGCAATCTTTCTTTTATGTATTACCACTATTGAATTAACTACTTCTATGAATATGGTGTTCATCTTGTTATATTAATGGGGTGTGTCAACTTGAACCGATGCATATATGTACCTGGTCCTACGTTGTAGTTGACCGACTTCAGACAGTCAGTATTTGTATAGTATACTGGTAAATGAAAACTTATGTAGTTTCTGTAAAAAAATTGCAGGTAATGGTGATGTTTTAATTCTGTAACTGCATGTGTATGTCTGGATTTTATTTGACAATTCTGTAAATGGTTTGCAATGAAACACAAAACATTGGTTATCAAGTCGTATCTCTTGTTATTAACCACGTATTCTATTTGATTCTAAAACTTTTTTTGATGTATCATAAAATTTCCGTTTTGCATTCCAAACGTCAAAATGTATCTTAAATACTATTAGGTGATTGAATATGAATCCCAAGGATCCTTTGAATATGCTTTCGTGATACTCAGCACTAATCCTTAAAACTTGTTTTTTAACCACTAAATGGACTTGTTCACGGGGATTTTAAGTCGAATGTTTTAATTGTGAAATAAGCACTGTCTTACAGCTATATGATATCATAAAACCTTAATGAAATTGAATCTAAATTATAAATGCTCTACTAATTAGTAATTGTTTCATCGCCATAAAGTCATAAGATTATATTTCAAAGTTACATAATGTATTGATTTATGAAAGGAAAACCTGATTTAAGAAAATGTTTTGTACAATTTACATTATTTAAATAAGAGAGTCTTGATATTCAAACAGATATCAAAAGCATGAAATATAACATTGTTTTATGAAACTGTAAACATATGTGATTTTAGTATAATAAAACAAACCTACATACTCTTAGCGTAGTGTATTTTTCTTACAAATATATTTTGGACCATATTTTTTAGGTTTAGAACTGGAATTGGAAAGTGGAGATGAAAGAGGTATAAAACTTGCACATATTACTCCTGGAAGTCCAGTAGATCGTTTGAAATATTGGAATAAATACAAATCTATGAATTATATTCAAACTGATTCAGACTATTCAAAACTTTCAGATACTTCTTGTATAAATGGTGATCATTTACGCATTCCTACTGCTGGTGATCGAATTCTAAGTGTATCAGATTACAGTTTTCAAAATATGTCAGCTTTTACAGCATTAAGATTATTAAGAAAATTGATTTCTTATTCTGGTTTTATAAAGTAAGTTATTGAAAGAAATTCATTTAACATTTAGTTCTTTTTTATCGATATTACTTACCTTTCGTCTAGATTATAATCAAAATAGATTTTTGTAGCAATTTCGGTGGGACTATAGTTTATGGACGAACCAATCACGTATAAGATAACAGGTCTCGGATTTTGGCGCGAAATTCATCCATACATTTGGCTAAATAGAGTTTTGGCATTATAGCTGGTGTCAGTTCGTGATGAAAAACCTAAATCAAATTTTTAACCCTAACTAGTTTATAACCCTCATTTAGTCCTAATCATTAGGTGTCCATTCTCAAGATCATTTCAGCGTCGCTCAAAGGTCGTCCATAAATTACAGTCTCATGGCAATTTTATTTGATTGTTCTGTATTTAAATTCCGTATCGTCTAAAATATTTACAACATCTACAGATAAATTTCATTTATATCATGACGAATTAAAAGTTCAGACTGTTATATTTACAAAGAATAATCAAATTAGTTTACATGGACAAATGAAACTTCTAGTCAGTTATAATAAATATATAGTCTAGTATAAATGTGCGTTGATCGGAATTGCTACACAATCACAGTATAACGACGTGAAATTAATAAGGTGTATGGTGAAGATATCATAATAATGAAGTGGAAACAGTTTTAAGAATATAGTTTAAAAGAACAGGATGAAGCACTTTTTAAACAGAGCAAACACAACATGGTTCACAGAATAGAATGAATCCATTCTATTTCATAGTCTCTCATCCGCTGAATACAACCTTAAATTACAATTACTAATAAAAATATAATTATTAACAAATGTTTATCATACTTTAATTTGTGAAGTTTAGATGAATGTTCTAAGAGTAATCAAAATCATAATCAGAAGATTAGGGATAAGAAGTGTGTATTAGAACACAACATACTAAACCAGCTATGTTGATGATACGTTCATTATCTCTGACTACGCTTCTCAGTTACTTAGTCACTTTAACAACTCTCACTATAACATAACGTTTACAATAAAATAAAAAAAGAGATATCCAATTCAATTTTTTAGATCTTAGTTTAAGACGGAGAAAATTGATGGAAGTCTTAAGAAGAGTACATATATGGGAAAGGAGCATGAACAGGACAGTACTTGAACTGTAACAGTTTTTGTCCCATCAGTTACGAAAGATGTCTAGTCAAAACGCTCTTCGATTGATTTAGAATGTTATACTCAAATGGCAAAATAAATGAAGAATTGGCTATTCTGGAGAAGCAACTCATAAAAAATGAATACCTGAGGAAATGCATTACGAAATATGGAAAAGAACATCTCAAGGGCGATAAACCATCGATTGTTAGCAAGAGGCCCGTTTTTTATGTGCGTTCCGATCAAGAGGGAGCTGAGATTTCAAAAAAAAATCGATGGAAGAGTCACGGCGGCACTGAAAAAAGCTTCCTTGCTGTTCATTTGGCTTCACTATACAATACCAAGTGTTTTCCGTACCACTCAAAGGTAGATCAATACCCTTCTGAGATCACTTATTACATTTATGAATTCACATGTACCTGCAGTGGCAAGCACATAGAGAGGACAGAGAGAAAGGTCTCCAAAACGAACTAGAGTCTTTACAATTGGAATCACCAGATGTCTAGATAGTGGACACGAGTGAACGTAAGAGATGCATTCAAAATAATCAACAGACAAAATACACCAATCTCATTCCGTTGTGCAGAGGCAATCGCTATCCAAGGTTACCGAATTGACTTACGTGTACAAAAGGAAAGTTTGATTAGCCTTTCTCTGTCATGGTGATTGGATACTTGTCTGATAATCTTTGTTAATCTCAAAACAGTTTTTCAACTGTCCCCCAAACTTTTATTATTCTTTCGTCTTCTGATATTCATCTCTTACATAATATGACTGATGGTCATATACTTGCCTATTTTGTCATATAGAGAGATTATCCAATCATTCGTTAATTTCATTACTTTTACATAACCTCGTAATTAATACTTCCCAACATATAAATACACATCGATCTTGACTTTGTTTATTCATACTTCTGATTATGATTTTGGCTAATCTTCGAACAGTTATCTAAACTTCACAAACTAAAGTATGCTAAACATTTGTTAATAATTATATTTTTATTAGTAATTGTAATTTAAGGTTGTATTCAGCGGATGAGAGACTGTGAAATAGAATGAATTCATTTTATTCTGTGATCCTTGTTGTTCTTGCTCTGTTTACAGTTATCAAGGGATCTGGTTGTATGAAAATATTTTTATAAATGAATAATGAAACTTTAAACTTACAGTAACAAAAAAACGGATGTATCTAGTTCTCCAATAACTAATCGAGGTTTTATTGCGGACCTCAGTCAGGTAATCTGCATCTGTCACTATGACTTAGACCAACAGTCAACCAATTATTAGACTGATACAACTTTGGGGTTTTGACACCTTTTGTATTTTTTATAACTCACTTGTACATCAGTAAACACTACCTGTCGAGGTATGTGGCACTCAACCAGACATCATTTTACGGACATATATTTTGCTGTAAGCTTACATAAAGACGCGTTTAAAAACATTGTTTCAAACCAAAAGTTGCAAAATTTCTTGACGATAGTATCTCAATAGACAAATTTCATAATGTAATTATTATGGAGCATTTATTGGTTAAATGTTGAATAGTAATTTTACTCGATATAAAATCACTGGTTTTACATTAATAACAGAGTTGTTCAAGACACGCAATAATACTTCGAATCCCTAGATTAATGACTTTACCAAGTATAGAATAGTTCTAAAATCACTCCCCTCTTTTTATCTTGACTAATGTAATTACTTGCAATCGCGTTAAAAGTTGATGAAATTAAAATTTGATTTTATAGTACAGAGTATTTCTAAATGTTACTACATATTACTCCTTCTACCAGGGTACATTCTAGGGAAGTATAAACTTTAAAGGATCCACCTCTTTTTTAATATATAATAAATGGTTAATATGAAATAATTATATAAAAGAAATAACAGGAATTTTACTTAAAATCAAAATTGTTTAACATAAATTGTCAATATTAATTGTGGTTATTGAGATGAAATCGAATTTTTCTCTCCTCTAATCGTCAACTTTCGGTTGTTTTTGTTGTTGTCGTTGTTGTTGTTTTTTGTTTTTGCTTGTGTTTATCCATTTCTCTCATTCATTCATCCTTCACTTATATTCTTGTTACAAAATAAGTCACTGTTAAATTAAACATAATTATATTAATCATTCTAATTTCATTCCTTTATTAATATTCATTTGCTTGACTTATTTTCCATTTTTACTTTTTTGTCAAAAGAAAATCTTTATTTTTGATTTTGTCTTCCTGACTAACTTTAGGATAACTAGTTGACAACAACAATAACAACAACAACAACAGCAAACAAAAAAACGAAAAAGAAAATGTGTTAAATAAAATAAAACAAAAGAATTTTTAAAAAGAAAAACAACTAGTCAATATTATTTATTTCTCAATTCCAGGGATGCCTATAATCATTCTAAATAGTGATTGTTATAATCATAACAGGAAGTGTAAATTCTTTTTGTTTTACAAAATGATGATTGGGATGCATATATGTGAATAGTATATTAATTTAATGCATGCTTACAAAGGATAAATGAAATGAATTTATGACGGAAATTAGACTAACTATTTTGCGTGTATGCATAGGCAGTTAAATAAGTTTTTTCCAGTGCAGGATTATGGAAATTGTTAAGTTTTGATTAAGATGATGAATTGATTGATGTTAGATTACCATTAAAAACCTGGAAGCACTGGATGGCTGTTTCATCCTATTATGGGACTCTTCAGTAAGGTGCATTTACGATCCCACACACGGGATTTGAGCTAATCCATGTCAGGTAGTGACAAGTATCTACCTCAGAAAATGGAAGATAGTCGCGTAATTTCGCGAATTGGATTCCAATCGGCTCAGTGGTCTAGAGGTCAAGCGTTCGAGTGTTAGACTGAAGGACGTGATTTTGAATCCTGCGTGCGAGATCGTGAATGTGCACTACGGATGAATCCCATACTAGGACGAAACGGTAATTCAATGCTTCCAGGTTTTCAATGGTGATCTAACGTTTTTTCATTAAACAGTACCTTAATAGAATTGTTTAAGTTAATGAGAGAATTTATTTTTATTTCTTTTTGTCGAAGCAGATATTATGAAAGTATTCAAAATTATCTTAAGAAATAAACAATCTGTATTTTTATTACTGATCATGGTTAATTGATTTTATCAGCATTTTATCTAGTTAATTATTATTACGTCATATACAGGAATGTCTTTCATTACCATTGCTCTTTTGACATAAATATCATTCCATAAAAATAAAAAATATATATAATTGCTCCGTAGACATTACCCATAAAATAATAAGTAGTGAAAAGTAATTTCCATCACTAACTGACATCAGCTGGAAAACTGAAGAACACTTCCTCCTCTTTTTTTAGTCAAGTTCATCACTACAATTTTCTTTTTGTTTTTAGGTAAAGATTAGCTTGAAATCATTTCAATTGTTAAGTTGTTGTAACCTGTAAAAATTGTCATTTAATATAGTATTGAGCAATGACTTAAACAAAACTCTTCATACTACTTGAGCTGTTTACACCGAAGATATTGGTAAATAGTTCGTAGTTTTGTTTGTTTGTTTTAATGATACACTTACGATTTCTATCATTTAAACGTTATGGTTTTATGATAATATCTTCTTTTTCGAATGAAAACCAGTGACATAAAAAGTGAAAAACATTAGATTTAGTTCAATGTTTGTTCTAAAGATTATGATTACATCATCAATGCATCACAATTCTATGACCATTAATACTTTATTTCTATTTTAATAGTAATCTGAAGTTCATCATATTAAATGATTATAATCTCACATAAGTCACTTGATACGTATGTGGGCTGTGGTACTGCAACGTTAGATGTTGCAGTCCCATGGTAGTCGGTGACCAACAATAGGTTCATACGCCATTTTGTTCTCTCAGGATCCTGGAGCCCATGTGCACCAACTTCCCTAGGTGGATCTTACATATACATCAACCCGGTTTAAGTGCTACGCATTCGCATTTCGTCCTCTCAATTTCGTAAACAACACCCCTGCCGCGAGAAGGAAGTGGGTAGGATTTCCCTGGCAGTAGTTGTATGCACGTTTCTATGTGAGAGCATATAGAGAGGGAGAGCTGACTCTCCCCACCTTCGGCTGTACCACGGCATTTAGAGGCGATAATTTTGGTTAGCAATATTCGGAGGCATAAATGTTGTGATACAAATTAACACAAGTTTAAATAATACAACGAATTAACCCATTTAAACGTTTGTTACAAATAAACAAGTTTGATCACGTCAATATTACGCCATTCCGTTAATTTACTATTTTTACCTCATAAACTTGTCCTTCATGAAAGTTTCTTTGCATGGAATCACGTTTTCTTTTTATTGAAAAAGAAAATTATCAAATGGAACTTACATAAGCAAATATAACCTATTTCAAGATTTGGCCATATGATAATGCTGCATTATAAATTTTAGTGAATATGTTTATTTTTAATCTGTACAACTTAGATAATGCTATGAAAAAAAAAACAACATGATTGTCAATGAAAAACCTTTCTTTTTGACCATCTAGTAATCAATTGAAAAATGACCATGTTTTGATGAATAATCTCGATGGTGGAGAACGTCTTCAGGTTTATATATATTCTACAGGGATTTACTTTTGAAGTATTTTGTTATAGTAAACCAATGTATATGCCTTTCTGAATGGCAAACTTGTATTAAGTAATAAAAACAATAGTTATTTCTTTGTATCACTTTTGGCTTTTTACATGATAAAAGAGACTATCGTGAATTAAAATATATCTAAGAGAGATTATCAATAGTTAGATTTAATTCTGGGTGTATCCATTATAAGATCTTATAATATTATTTGTATACATTTAACTCATATTTCAATTCAGTGATTACGATATGATTCATATTACATGTTATCTCACATTGGATTATGTCTAGATTAAGTATGATTAATTTTGATTATGAAAAGAACATCTAAAGTGAAATTTATCATAATATTTAACAATATAAATAGATTTTCAAAACAAACAAATGTATTCACAAGGAAATTTGATCTGTCTATTTAACTTTGATTATATAGGCTTACCATACTATATAAACACGCAAATCCTACATTAGTTTATAGTTGTTCCATATTCTCTCGTTTTGTAATATCCTATTACAAAGTTAACTTATTTTAAATGAAATACATTTGTATTTGTATGTACACTTATTAAATTTTTCATTTACATCAAATTTTCCGACAACTTGAAATGAATGTCATATTAACTGTGTAAAGTCGAATCCATCTACTTACTCACTTGAATTAGGATTTTTAAAAAAAAGTATAATACTACAAGAGCATATTTGAATTTGGTAATATTGTTTGAATCAAGTAAGTTATAAGTCTACGGTGGCTGCAATAAATTTATTTTTATTGTTTTTTTTTTGAAATACTATTCATTGTATTCCAGTTGAATAAAAATAATTGTGTTGTTGTAATGGACCTAGTTGTTGAAATGCTGATATTAAGTTTAATCAGTTATTTGTCAATGTGCTTATTAATAACTTACCCATCTCATAGTCTGTGTATTACTGAACAAAATATTTTAAATCAGGACACCTAATTATTTTTTTCTTTCAAATTTCTTCTTCTGAAATGGAATTGAATACCAGTTATAACTGTTTATAGCTAATAATTAATGTAAATGAAATTTGTTAATATAATTGTGGTAACTGAATTTAGAATTTTGTAGTATAGTTTTCCAAACAACCTTAGTTTTCCCAATGATACTGCAGTAATCTTTCGGAAGATTACAAAATGTAATTATCAAATATAAGTACTCTAATGTCAACGCTCGAATAAAGTATTATACAAATGTTTTTAACTAAAATTATTACATGTATAAATTATACATATAAATATGATATAACATTTATGCCATTTAAGTTGCGCTGAATATGTATGATCAACCGTAAAATATCATTAAGAATTCCTTGTACTTGTGTATTTTAGCGAGTGTAGCAATGGAGTGATACATTGTATGAATTTGGATATAGTTAAATTCAAAAAAGTATACTGTCAATCTGAGTTACCTTTGCTTCATCGCGTTGCAATTAGTAGCATAACTTCGAAACATGAATACTGGCTAGAAAAATTAAAAAATCATACCGTAGAACTTAATGTAAGAATATTGAGTTAGTACTTGTCAGTATATCATGACTCTTTAGATTAATTCACTAGGAATCTGAGATTCATTAGTTTGAGACATTGCCTGATACGATTTAATGAAAAAAAAATTAACATTATGATGTAATATTTTTACTGAATGATAATCTGTCTTGATTATTTCATTATTTAAATTGTATATGATATAATGAAAAATGTTTTCAGAGAATCATTTTGAATAAGTTATGTATAAATCTATCAATATTTTACAACCATGAACAAAACGACATGGAAATAAATGTAATAACCATTTGAAAATATCATTGATTTCATCGAATATATTGTCGTGACTTCTCTGTTATTGTTATAACTTGTCAGTTGAATGTTACTTGTTGTATCTGGTCGTCGCTGATTGTTATGTTGGAAACGCTTATTACGTATACTCGAAACGATGGAACTCTACAATTCCCTCAACATGAAAGTAGACACACAAAGACTGGTATAAGTGAATATTTATTAACCTAAAAACACGACAACGACGACGACTCTAGTCAAAAGTACACTCGTTTATATATTGATTGTACATACACTTTGAATAATAATTAGGATGAAATCACCTGTATAAAAAATACTCAGTTATGACAAATCACATACAGAGCAAGAATATGGTATATTATACAGAATTAAAATATCATACGAGAAAAGAAAACAAATACTACACTAAATGATCATGATATTGAATCAGAAAGGAAGTAATGTTGAACAAAACTCATAATGAGTAAATCATTCGCATTCAGACTTTTCATTCCATCTTATCAGTTATAATGGTATCATCAGCTTATTCTAGTCCATAGATAGATGACTTATTTTGATGTTACTAGTTATTTTTGTACAATTGTATATTTGGTTTTGTTAATTATTCATATGTTTAGTAAAGTATATATGTGTCTATCTACCTATTTGTATTTCATATATACCTATTGAAAATGGAATCACATAGATATTGTATTGTCGAGCTTTAACGCTATATATTTTATACACATAAAATACACATTTCTAAAATATTACTATTTAATCTTGATATTTATAATGTATTAATATGTTTAATTAACACAATCCATCATTCACCATCGTCAATAATGAAGTCAACATTGTGCTGTAATTTATATCTAAATTAGTTGTTTCAAGATTTTTCTGATTACATTTTGCAATTTCATTAAAAATTAATCATAATTCACTGTTTATTCATCTGTTTTCCTTTTTCTGTTTGTTTGTTTTTTTCCTACACTTTTTCAATAGAATCAAATTTATACCAAGTGAATATTTTGGAAATAATCAATTGAAATACAATAATCAATGTAGAATGTTTCCATCAGAACCAAATTTAACAATTAATTAATTAATTAATTACATAATTACCAATAAACTAAATAACTAGTTATCTTCATACTTTATTATTATTATTATTTATTATTGAATTTTAACTAATATTTTTAATTCATCCTTTAAACCTTATTATTCTTTTTGTTTTTTTTAAATATTTCGAAAATAATTAAAAAAATTAATATTAATATCAAATTTTTATTGTGAAAGTCTAATTTTTTTAAAAAAATAATGAAAGAAAAAACACTTCACATAGTAATTTTTGTTTTAATAACCAAAAACATTTTTTTTAAAAAATAATCTTTTTCATTCAAAAATCAATAATTATTCATTATTATTATTATTAATATTACTATTATTAGGTCACAAATGATTTCACATACAAATAATTACACTGATCAACAATATAATTATTTTCCAAAGCCATTTATCTTAAATAAAACTAATACTAATATTAATACTAGTGATAATATTACTAATAAAAGTAATGATAATGATAATGTTAATAATAATAATCATCATCAACTAATACACTTGAATAAGCATTCATCTTCATTTAAATCTATTTTAAACACTGAAACAACATCTAAATTAGATCAATCATTCAGGTCAGTGAAGTTATGTTGTTGTTTTTCTTTTAAATAATTTTATTATTTATAATGTTATTTGTTATTGTAATTGTTTTCAACAATTTATCTTTGTTCAATTATTTATAAAAAAAGGATTTTCTTTTTATTTAGAAAACGTTTTTCATTACATGTGTACATATATATGGATATATTGATTGTTTTCTTTTAATCTAAAAAAAGTTTTTTTTAATTTCCACCAAATACATTTTTGATATCCTTTATAACAACAAAAAATATTGGGAGATTTCGTTTTTTGTTTGTTTGTTTGTTTCATAACCAGATAGTCATATGATCTATGATACAAGGAAGAGTTTCTTTAGATTATCGAAAGTCCTATACAGTAATCAGTTGTTTGTTCTGCATTATTTTATCGCTGTAATATATGGAACCAAAAAGTAGTGAATATATCTACGATACAATTATACGGTAAGATATGTCCTCAAGGCATTGATCATATATAAGAGGATCTTTCATTAAGTAGTAGTGTGTTTAGGCCTGAAGTATCTTGTAGATAGAGATTATTAACAGGTTGATGAGGACTTGAACTCACATTGACTGAACTGGTTAAGAAGTCAGTTAACCATGGCCATTCATTCCATATGTTGATTTGAACTAGTAAGTTACGTAGACGTAGAATGCATAAGGGTTAGGAATGGTAAAGTAGAACATGGAACTAGTCACTTTACTCACCAACCGTTAGTTTGCCTAGTGTGTGACAGTAAATTACTAAGCATAAATGAAATAGCTTAGAACAGCGTTTTGTAGGGTAGATGTATTAACTCTTTACATTTTGTTAGTTCTCGAGGTTGATGATTTGCAAATCTCATTCACAAACTGTACTTAATTTTTAGAATTATGATGTATGCTTCTAATCTTATACTATCATCAACACTAGTTTTACTATGATTGACCTTAATCCTGTTAATTGCTTATCGTTTTGCTGACGTAGATTTTGGTAATATAGATAGATACATATAATTTTTAAGCTCCTATATTTTTAAATAGTCGACTGACTACTTATCACATTTTAAATAGATGGTAAGGAGACCTGCATCCCACCTGTTACCCTTTTTTAAATTCTATGCGAAGTTATTTATGTGTTATGCTTTAAATTATTAGTCGAGGATTGATAAAACTTTTCACAGATTTATAGCTATATATATTAAATGTTTGTGTACTACACAAATTATTACATCACTAGTCAGCGGGATGTTATTTTACTGTTATAACGGAAGATACTATTTGGGTCATGGATGGGCAGTAGATCATTTTACGTGATTGTGGCAGAGTTGTAATTATTTCAAAACTCTGGATTTCTTCATGTAATACACAATGAAAGGATGTCAAACGTTAAAATAAATCAGAAACAATAAATCTTTCCATGCTATAAATTACACACCCTTATCCAATTTTATCACACTAAATATGTTTAAAATTCATAATAATGACTAATTATTATTATATTCAAGTTTAGTAGGTCATTTACCAACCTCTGAACTTTAGGCTTCTCAGGTTAATTTATTGCTTGTAACATCTACATTTTGATAAGTTCTTACAGAAGGTGAGTGGGCAATGCGATAGAGAATATGAAAACCAGTATACGTTTTGACATTAACATCGCTAGATGCCGGCTCATTGGTCTAGAGGCTAAGCGTCCGCGCGCGAGACTGAAAGGTTCTGAGTCCAAACCCCGCAAGGCGGGATTGTGGATACTCACTGCTGAGGAGTCCCTTACTGGGACTTCCAGGTTTTCCATGATGATCTAGCTTCATTTGACTCATGATCTCAACTATTAAAATTACTATAATATCCACAAAAAACCCCTTGTTAAATTAGTCGTAACAGATATTCATGTACAAAATTCATGTTTTATTTATCAGGATAATCCAGAAACATGTAAATATATGTCGTGTACAACATTTTCATATTGAATTTAATACAGTTTATCGCTAGTTATGTAATATCGACAATTTCCTTCTTATATCATTATTCCGCTTATAAATAATATGATCTTCATAAATCTAGATAGCATGCTAAAGTGGATTGCTAATAACGAATCAAACAAAAGTTCTTTTTTTGGAGAGGCTTTAGTCAATTAGATTTAGTATAACAGGTCTTGGATTTTGGCGCGAAATTCACTCACCCATCTGTCCAAATAGCGTCTTGTCATTTTAGCTGATGTCAGTTCGTGATGAAAAATCATAAATCTAATTCCTAACCCTAACCGTCAACTGTGAATCACAATCCTTATTTTTCAAACCGCTTTATAACCCTCAGTTAGCCCTAGTAATTAGGTAGACACTCGCAAGGTCACTTGAGCGTCACTCAAAGGTCGTCCAAAAATTTAATGTCTCATCCTTTCTCTTCCATAAATGAATGTAAATTGATGGAATTACATTTTAAAATGATCAATTCTATGTTTAATTTAGTGTAATATTCAAATGAAACATAAAATAAAAACTTTATTTACTTATAGTGGATTGCTTCATCTGATAACATCAATGAATAAACATTTATAGTTTTAGGTAAACTCAGTTTTGTATAGTTAACCTTATTTGAATTATACAATTTTATCAAGTAACTTTATTTGATCTTCATTGGTTTTATAAACATTAAACGATTATCCTTGTTATCTCAATATTATTCATTTTCATTCAAATAGTTGACAATAGTTGTTAGATTCATAGAATAATCACCGGCATCCAACGGTGCTAATATCTAACTTCAACTCATCCACGATGTTGTGCTACCGTCCACCATTGTCTTCAGTGAGTAACGGCCTCACAACAGACACAGTTGAACTCCACTGATCACGGCTTCTGAAAAGAACTCAATGAAATTCCTCGTCAAGCCAGTCACTAGTAGACACATGATAAGAAGTACCAGAATTGGCGTTTTGCGGAGTCCCGTGTGACGGATCGTGGATGCGCATTCTCGGACGAAACGGCCGTCCAATGCTCCCAGGTTTTCCGTGGCGGTCTAGCTTCAATTGACTCATGATCTCAACTATTAAAATTACTAAAATATCCACCAAACCTCTTCTGATATTAATCAATATATGCTCTCTAGTGACTGGCTTCAAGAGGTATTTCCTGGAGTTCTAGTGAGGAGTGACCAGTGTAGTTCAAATGGGTCTGCTGTGAGATAGTAACTCACTAAAGACAATGATGGTTGGGTCGCTCAATATGTGTAATAATTTTGTTATAGATTATATCAGATTTATAATTTCCTTTTATTTTATAAAGCATTTAGTCTATCGAAATCTAAATTAAATAAGATTTAATGTTTGTTTTTCTATTAAAAAACCGGTATCATTCGGAGAATCGATAAAAATCAAAGAATAAAAATAGATAGCTTGGTTGTTTCAGTTATTAACTAATTAGATTCAATGAAAAGTTAAACCATTATTACAATATTTGTAGGCTGTTATGTCAAGGTCCACCGGTTTACATTTCTGATTCCAATCAATTTTCGTTATAACATGATCGTAAACCCAGTCTGAACAATATGTTACAGTTTTTTTTAAAATTTGATTGACTTCAGGTCAAGATTTCCAGTTGATGTCAGATCAAGCTTAAAATATACGAAAAACGCCACAAATTAACTAATTAAATTATGTAAAAGTTCATTGTAAGTATTGTATTTAGGTATTTGTCTTTTAAGTATGTTTATTTTCTGAGCTGGATAGCTTTAATGTGTAGCTTTGAACGTCTTTTTCGACAGAATCATCAGTACACACTTGGCTAAAAAGTGAGTTATTAGAATTTATCCACGACTGAATAGAAGATTCTTCTGTTATTGCAAAATTTTATTGAGCTACTTCTCGTTCATGTGATTACCGATGACGTAGAGAAAGACAATAAAAGCTCCACGAATAAACTATTTAGTTTACAGAACACAATATCTCCAAAATCTAGATCCTGAAAATATTTTCCACCGTCTCAATAATGTTTTCAATAGCTATAAAACTGAACTATTATACTCTGGTTTAAAGTCATTAATAGGACATTTTCAGGAAATAAGTTGAAAACTCAATATTTCCACTAACATTACTTAACATAAAAAGGACACCAGTAAAACTAGAATTGTATTTATTTTGCTGTTGCTTATTTGATTTAATATCACACTTCTTTAATGTATAATACAATTTCGTTGACATATACAAAAGTGATATGTTTTTTACTCAAGTCTTCTTTTGTCTTAAAAATATATTCATTTTCAAATTTTTAGTTAATTTTTTAGTAAACACGACCTGGTTATCGATTTGGTCAACTTTGTATTCTAGATAAAGATCAAGTAGTAAGTTCAAAATAAATACAAGTCAAAAGAACTGATTGTTCTAGAAAAAACGGATCCTAGGTTTCGTTGTAAATATATTCTTCGTGCTTAACCACATTCATCTACATGCCTACAGTTTGAACGAAGTCAGCTTATACAATTTAAAATGAATCATTATATGATTATTTCATAGATTTATCATCAGTTATAGTCCAATAGGACTGCCTGCAATTTCCTCTTTTAATTGATTATAAATTTCACCATTGAACTTAGACTCATTGTGCATAAGTACTGTAACTTCTCTATAGAATTTGATACTAAACTTCATTCTATTTTATTCTAAACATACCCTCTAATCTTCATCAAGTGAACATTAGAAAAAAATGGTGTTAATATCCAACTTTAGACATTATATGGTTGTTTAGTTTCTTTCAATACATTATTCGTGTCCTTGAAGGATGATGTTTTGTTGTAATAGTTTAAGTATATAAGCAACTAATCCAGTCATTTTATAACACGATAAGTTCAACTTATTGGACTGATCATACTTGTAGATTAGGTGGATGAATTTAATAAGTTCATATAACTTAGGTAAATTTGTTTCGACATACTAAAAGATTCTAAAAAAGAATAAATGAAATTTCATTTTACAACATAACGAAGATTTCAATGAGCTAGGGAACTTCTCTATGGTCGCTGTC